TCATAATTCTTCTAAACGAAGACCTTCTGACTCCCAGGGCAGAGTTTAAATGGTTTGAATAATTCTTTCTGGTTAGCGTTTTTTTAGCGAGTTAGTTTTCTACGGGATGGGGTCGCTAACCCCATGCCCAACCCTCCTCCTTTATCCGGGCTTGGGACCGGCAGTAGCCCCCGGAAAGGGGCTCCAGGCGGAGTTATTTTTAAAAATAGCACATAAAATTTTCTAAAACAATTTAACCTTCATATTGTTAATTAATTTATTTAATATTGTGGTGTGTACTACTGATTCCAACAGATATAAGTAATATATATGATCAGTCGACTGGAGGAAAAAGGTTAGGAAGATCAGAAAAAAGAAAATGATAACGCATAATGATTGCTATAGAAATAAAGGATCAATGAAGTCTGAGACGATTGGTTGATATTTTGCAAATGATTTATTTATTGTATGATTCTCAAATCTAACGATGTTTTGCAATTTCGTATTCAAATACAATCCATTATCCTCACTTGTATTCTCATTCACTACAATATGATCTATTTCAATGTTTGCATCAACGCATAACATACATCAAGTGACTTATTACGTCTCGTGATTTTAAGGTATAACTTATATTAAGACTGATTAAAATCGAACTGAAAATTATATTCTTCGCTTATATGTTTTATCAAATCCTTAATGACACGAGAAGAACTTATAACAAATTTTAGTACATATTGTAACAAATTGTATCAGGATTTGTCAAATCTTAATAGTAATGTATACACCGTATACTGTATACACTTCGTTTTTATTAAACTTTATTCAAAATCTTTAGTGGTCATAAAAAAAAATTACTTGAGTTAAATGTTTACCTATTTTAAAACTCATTAGTGATTAACAATACAGCTAATCTTCTTCTTTTGTTATTGAAGATTCTGTTTTCCTTCTTCTATAATGAAGTTAATACAAATTAAGAATGTAGAAAATCTAGGTCATTTGTGTTGATCATTTTATTATTCTATTATAAAATCTTGTTTAATAAAATTTATTGAATCTCAGTATACTTAGATGAAATATTTTTTCTTGTATTTCTTATTCTTTGAACATCTTCATTAAAGTAAAACTTAAAGGCGTATATTACATAAGTAGTAATATTCGTCAAATATAGTTTATAATGATTCATTCAGAAGTTCAATATCATAAATAACTAATGGTTAAGCGCTCGTACGCGAGAATGATAGGTCCTGGGTTTGAGTCTCACGAGGGGACGGGATCATGGATGCGCACTGCTGAGGAGTATCACAGTAGGACGGAATGGCCGTCCAGTGCTTCCAGGTCTTCCATGGTGGTCAAGATTTAATTGAGTCATGATTTCAACTGTTGAAATTACTAAAATCGCCACAAAACTCATTCTAATAATTTACTACCTTTTTAATTCTTATTATTAGTGGCTTTATTCATTATTATATTGTTGGTATAATATAGAATTTTCAGCTTAATGTATTTCAACAAGTTCTTTATTCTTATTTCTTGGTCAACCCTTGCGATAAATATTAAATGGTCATTAGTTAGACATTAGCAGTTCAGGAATTGACATTTGAATAATGTATATTCTTTTCGATGCATATTGCTAATAACTACGGTATCTCTGATTGAGCTGTTATGTAACTTGTACAGTGAAATGTCGTAAACCATTCACAAGCGTACCTGGAAAGGTTATGAGACCGATAGTTATAATGATGTGTTAAAACAAACATAAAACACTGTTAACTTGTTGAAATATCCAGGCGCTAGGACCAGGTAGCTCAAATATTCAAACATTTTTAATGTTAACAAATATCAAACAAATCAATTAATCAATAAATAAAATTGAAGTAACTAATTAGTGAAAATGTCTAAAATCAATGTCCTGTAATTATGTTTCTATTAACCAACATTTTATTATAGCCAAGCTATTGTTAAAATATTTATAATCTAATCAAATCATTTTTTTTATTTAATTTCAATATTATTTGTTTGAATTCAAAGTGTGTCGCCCTTTTTTCTTTCAACTTACAATTAATGATAATGACGATTAAGTTGATCTTGTTGTTGATGATGATGATGAGCCAAAAATAGGAAACAACATTTTTCCCAGAATCATTTATAATAAAAAAAAAACAAAATATCTATTATAAAATGCTAAGATAAAACTTAATTAACCTCAATATGTATAAAGTTTAGGTTGAACAATTTGTTTGTCTAAAATATAGGAAGTTTTGAAAAGACTAGATTATCTATTGGATAGTCAGAATAAAAGGATAGAAATAATTAATTAATGTTAAATAACGTTGACAAAACCCTTATTGACAGATAATTCCTATTTAAACATTGAAAATTAAAAACATGAAGTTCAGTGAAAGGATCTTTCTTTAACGAATTTATTATCAAGCTCTATAATCGTATATATATATATATATATATATATATATATATATATATATATATATATAAATGGGAAAGGAAAGCAGTTAGGAGTTCTATACTTGAACACCTAATCGATTGTAATCATTCTACGGATCCGCAGTTTGATTTTAAGGTTATTTATATGATTCATTCAAATCTACCTAGATTTCTTTGTATCCAAATCCTAAAAATAGCCGAAACTCTTACCATCCATGAGCTCAAACCAGAATTATGCGTACAAAACAAGTACGTCTTATCGTTGTTATTACCTTGGCCTTTATTATTATTACTGCATTCCCCCTTTTACTTATGTCTTATATTTTTATTATTTGATCCCTAAATACACATCATACCACCTTATTTATTTTTACACCTCTACGACTTTTAATTATTGTGACAAAATCTTATTATATTCACTAAATCTATTGTTATTATTCGTATTGCGTAATTTTGTATTATAATCTTTCTATTACATCATCTCTTTTATTTGTGTTTATATTTCCTCACGGAACTAGTACTTTAACATACTTTTACATGTATATACGATTGTACAGCTTGATCACATAATATTCGTGTTGTTCCGTTGTACTATTTAAACTTGGATTAGTTTTAACTTGGTTATTTATTCTCTGATGAAGTGGCTTACGCTAAGTCACTGGTCATTGGGATATTACAAACGTATTGTTTATTTATAACAATCTACCCAATGCTCAATTCATTCGAAATTATCAAATCAAACCTTGATAATAATACCTACATATTATTAAAATAATATGGGAAACTTATTAATTATAACGGTGTAAATTATTGAAAATCTTTAAAAAAACACTTCACTTCTTTTTGTCTTCACTTTGAATAACAACGAGAAAAGACAAAAGATTATCAGTATAGGGGTTGTGGAGAATATTAAGTTTTTGATTAAGATCATCAATTGGTTCATGATCTTAATCAAAAAAGAAGATTATATTAGAACTAATTCAATTTACATCTTATGAATGAACAAAATTATTGATTACAGTTATTGAACTGATGATAAAACTTTCACAATTGAAGAAAGATTTTCGGAATATTTAGAATATGAATATATGTTAAAATGATATTTATTTCCATTTTGAATGAGCAATAACAAAATTGACAGTAATAAAGAAAACTAGTAAAATATGAAAGATTATTCATTGGAATGAATTTTCAATTCAACATATACATTTACTTGGGAAGTACATTAATTGTCCATGTAGAAATTGATTGATGTTGAATAATTTAAAGTTATAGGAGCAATTTTTTTAATAATTGAATTCATGAGTCAATTAAACCGAGACCACTATGGAAAATCTGGAAGAATTGAATAGCTTTTTCATCCTAGTATAAGAATTTTCAGCAATGTGCATCCACGACCCCGCCACGCGAGATTCGAACATTTAACATTTAAACCACTGTGCCGGCATCCAACAGTACTAATGTTAAGTTCAACCAATCCACGAAATTGAGTGAAACATCCACCAGGGATCTGAGTGGTTTAAACGTTCGGGCGCAAGACCGATAGGTCCTATATTCGAATCTCGCGAGGCGGGATCATGGATGTGTACTATTGAGGAGTCTCATACTATGATGAAACGGCCGTTCAGTGCTTCCAGGTTTTCCATAGCTGTCTAGCTTTAATTGACTCATGAAGTGAATTAACAAAAAATTACCTTGATCTCCACTAAACCCCTCTCTAGTTATAGCAGCATTAAGTCATGAATCGGTTACAATGATCCGATAATAAAAAGATGTTATGTAGTAATTTAATGGCTGATAAAACATCTCAAGGTAAAAATAAATGTCTATTGGATTAATATTAACAGCAGAATAACTAAACGTTAATTAATGTCTAGTTAATAGTTGTGAAAATTAATTGTATAGAAGTCGAAAACTATATATTATGGTAGAATGAAGAATCGAACAGATTTATTTCGTATACAAGGTTTACAGTCGAAATGATAGATGGATAGATAGATAGATAGAACTTCTACTGTATATAAACATTTCAATTTTATTCCTTTAGAACTGAGTTTTCCGGCTATATGAATGATTTCGAACGATGGTTCTGGTAGGGTTATAGTTATTGTTATTAATATTATCACTTATCAACTATAAGTGTGGTGTATGCTATTTACGTTGACAAATCTAAGTAGCATGTAACTACAGATGGAGATTTAAACCCTGAAAGCAAAGGTTTAAGAAGATCTATGTGAAGAAAAAACAGGAACGCAAGAAGAAAAGAAATTGTCACTTGAGAGTACCATAAAGAATGTGAAAAATAAATAATGAATATTTGCAATTGAAGTATTCAATAAATGGTTTTCATATTTTACCAAGAGTTTCTGTAATTTTGTATTAATGGATCTTTGGTTATTCGTTCATTACATTAATAGTTTCCCCACTTTCATCACTTCATTAAACGTCAAAGTTAAATTAAAACTCTTGATAATTTATTTTAAAACAAATGTATATATAGTTCATCTTATTTAAATACTGAGTTGTAATGAATTCACCACTGATTGATCAAATCCTTCTTTTCTTTTTATCGATAGGGTGACTTTTTTATAGAATTATCAATAATATACGAATCATACAGTATACTACCGAACGTTATTAGAATGAAATTAAAATATCAAAATAAAGAAAAATTATCTAATATTATCGATGTTCTATATCAATACGGCAGTGAAACATTCCTTTACAAATTTCTGATCAGTCTAATCAAAACAATTACATCAACTTATGTTCCATGGATGAAAGACTATACAGAAAATATTGATAACCAGGTAAACTATATTTATTGGTTATATATGAATTTTATTGATGCAAATGTAAATATTTTATGAGTTCAAGATAAACACTTCTACCTTTGATCGTTGTATTCATGAGTCGATTAAAGCCAAACCATCATAGACAACCTTGATGCACTGGAAGGCCATTTCGTCGTATTGTGTGACTCATCAGCAATGCGCATCTACAATCTCGCTCGCAGGATTCGAACCCCGGACCTTCGGTCATATGAGCGAAAGCCTCATTTCTGAACCACTGAGCCGGTATCTAATGGTATTAATGTCTAGATTTATCCAACTCACTTCTATCTTCGCTAACTCAATTTGTTCAAATCGTGTCCTATATAAAGTATATACATTTTGTACATATAAATTTAAGTTGTAAGCAGCTGAGGAAAATTCAGAATTTTAATGAATTCATGTTGTTTTGCTATGAGATTTATCCTTAAAAAGATTGTACAAGACAGTTTATTTTGTAAAGTTTACATTGTCATTCGGGATTATAATACAAATTAAAGTAATTTATTTAAAACTAATTCACTTTCTGAAAATTCTATCCAAGCAATATGACTATATGTATATATGAGGAATAGTTTTTTCAAAGACTTATATGAGTTAAATTACATTTGAAAAATAAAATGATTTTAACAATTACGTCATCCTTATTGAAAAATAAGTTACATAACTAATCTCTCTTAACTACCTATTGTGTAATGATTCTAAGTTTTATTTCTTGTACAATCATATATTTCACGGTTAAATAGTCTGAAAATAAGGGAAAAAAACGTAATCATAATAATAAGCTAATACTTTCTAGTATTTATCAGTTTTACAGTTGATTTAACTGAACGATCAATAATTCAAAGAAACATTGTTTTTTGACAGTTCACTTAACATGAATTTAATTGTTGCATTAATAATGTTATATTAAAATACAAACAATAATTTTACACTTGGAATAATATTCTTTCTAAACGGAAAAACATGTCCTAGTAACTACTGACTAGTTGTTTTTTTTTTGGTATTTAAATATATTTGGTTTTTCCCGCTTGTTTTCTTATTTTCTACAGTAGTAATATCCACTTAAAATTGCTTAGATCTCTTTCACTTAATTGGTTCACTTAATCTCAATAAAACGTGTTATTCAGACTAATTAGGAAACACATGATTATTCACTTCTACACGAAATATCTGATTCTTCGTAAGATTACAAATGTAGTTTATTACAATTTAAGTCAATCTAGAAGTTTGATATTAGGTCGTATTTACATTTTTACTAATGGTTTTCAGTACAAGTTAAACTCACAAAATGTATAGTTTACGGTTTTGGAGGTTGTTGAATTTCATTGAAATCATGAACTTATGAACGTTAGACTACCATGGAAAACCGCAAAGCACTGAACAGGCATTTCATTCTAGTATGGGACTACAAACCAGTGTGTATCCATAATCCCGACACATAGCTTACTGCTGCTGTTTTGACCAATAGTCATTCATGTCATCTCATAATAAAACAATCTCATTCCACAATAGAGTACATAATAATGGAACGAGTATAGAACATACTAGTCGTCAGTTTGACTATCGGAACTTTTATAATTCAGGATTCTCTTAAAAATCAAAATATTGAGCACACTTGTATACATAGTAAATGAAGCTTATCAATAGCAGTGATGAAGTATCTTTATCTTACTATTTGAATATTTATATTAGGAATTCTCATCATTTACAAACATGTAAATTGTTAGTAAACTGTACAATACACTACATTATATGTTTATCATGTTCAACAAATTAAACGAAAAAAAGCTTGATTACTCGATAAAAAATCTCATGTACTTCATTTGGATATGTTTACTTTTATTTTAAACGAAAAAAACAAATTATTTATCTATTCGATTGTTTATTCGTCGCTATGGAAACGATTATTATAAGTTGTTTGATTTTCAAAATGTTGAATAAACATACACACAAAAATGTTATCTCTGTAAAAAAAATAAAACCATAATCACCGAATTACGGATATGTTTTGCATAAAGTTAGCGCCATAAAAAAACAATAACACTGTAAATTTATTGAATTAGATGACTACATTATATTTCCTAACGATCGTTCAATATCAACTTTGGTGCCAACATTTGTAGGGTACATTTAAATCTTTAATCGCCAATTTTATTGGGAAAAAACGTATATGAAGAGAATGATTATGGCAATTAGTTTGATTTTACTACTGAAGATTTTTAATATCGATGCTATTAGGCTCATTTAATCAATATAGATACTTCATAAATCGTTAGATCCAAAACTTGAATGAGATAAGCAAATAAATCAGGTGAAAGCCCTATTATTCAAATAATAATCATTAAAGTAACCCTTTGCTCTATTATCAGCGAATGTTTTTTTCTTTTTATAAATAAATCATTTAACGTAATGCTTGAAAACAGTGATGAAATTTGTTTTAATTCTCATTCCCATTACTGAAACATTAAAACAAACCAGTGGAACATTTTAATTGAAGCGAAGATAAACTATAAAATTTTTACAAAGGGTATCATTAGTAAAAACTTTTTTATAAATGATAATGTGAGTAATGCCATATGAAGAATCTTCTAGTGTCTACAGTTATTTATAAAAAGTTGATGTAGATCTAACCAGTGAAGCTAAATCATAGATGGAAGATGATCGTGCATTGTCGTGGATTGATTAAAGTTAGACATTAACAACGTTGGATTCCGACTCGATTGTCTATAGATTAAAAGTTCACGTACAAGACTGAAGGTCCTGAATTCAATTCCCTCGTGCAAAGTCATGGATGTGTACGATCGTCCAGTGTTTCTAGATTTTCAATAGTAGTTCATGATTTCAATGAACGTGCAGTTTGTTTAGATTTTTTTGTGCTGTAATGGTTTTGAGCTTACCTGTTTTGATCAATATGTTACGCTGTTTATGTATTTATCAAACTCATTTTCCCAAGTTTTTATAGGTGATTGATTTATGTAGATGAAATTACAATGCAAAAACTTGATGTTCTAGTTAACTGAATGAAATTTATTCCAAATATTTTGTCTGCATTCATTGTATTTGTAGCTGATTTATGTTATCCAACCACTTAAACAAGTGTTTCTATGAAATATGATATACTGAAGCTACATATCTTGATTTACATTATTATTTACTCAATGGTTTATTGAATGAAGTTGACTTGAATTAAGTGCAACATGGTTACTTCGCGGAAACTGGATTTATTCATTTATAAATAAACAATGCAATTTATTGGTTCATGTTTAAAATTGATTAATTTTTTCAACAGAAGGCATATTTATATAAATTCAACTAGTTAAATTAAAAACCAGCCACTGAACTCAAATATTTAGCGTTAAAATACAATATATACATACATATATAAACATACTTTTGAGTCGAAGGGAGGATTGGACTAAGAAATGGTCAGTTTATAGGAAACAAACTTGAACGGCGCAATATTTAATTTTCCTTAGTTTCTGTCTATTTCGAATAGTTTAATGAAGCCTTAGCTATTTGTAAATTCAACCTCCCCTTATGTGTACAAAACCAATTTATTGTAAATTTGAATTTGCCCTGGTAATCCTTAAATCATTTTATGGTGTAGGACAACGTATTCTTTCTATATGATGTAAATAATGTTGCTCTCCTCTTTATTAACTTTTTTACTTGAAATTTCATTCAATTAATCTTTATTAATATCTTGACAAGTAAAAGTGTAACCAGACTGTCTAAAATGTATAGCGCAAATTACATCATATTATTCAGATCAACTATAGCTTCTTATCGCTCTATTAAATTTTATAAAAGGAACTAATTACATTAAACAATATATAATTGTCTATTATTATTATTTATTTATTTGAACACATAAATATTTGTACAAGAGGGCACCAAATATATATGCGCCACACAAATTTTCATTTTATTTGTGTGTGGGCTGTGATAATGCTCGGGTGCCTAGACCGAAACAGGTGGTTTTCATAGGGGACCACACCCGAAGCCTTTGACCTAAAGGTCTGACCCACAAGGCAGTGGAGCATCGTGAGGAGATGCAGTCCCATGGTAGCCGGTGACCAACGATTGGTTCATACTCCATTTGTTCCTTCAGGATACTGGAGCCCATGTGCACCATTGGTTTGGAATCCGGTTATAGTGCCGGACATTCGTTTTTTGTATTCTCATTTTCGTAAACAACACCCGCGCCACGAGAAGGCAGTGAGTAGGGTTTCTCTGACAGAGGCTGTGTACGCGTGACCGTGTGAGAGTGTGCCCGTCCCATTCTCGGCCATACCAAGGCATTCGGGGACGTATAATAATTGTCTAATCTTCAAAGTTTATACATATTATATCTCTTTCTATTTATCGTTTAGTAAATACAAACCGATTTACATTTGAAATCTATCATAATAAATATGATCAACTTGGAAGACTTAAATGTTTCCATAAATGAATACGTAAATGTCATATGTAAGGAATACTAGCAACCAATTACATTCTGAATTAAATAATAATAATAAATTATAATGGTTAACAAAGTATATTTATATTATTAGAACATTTATTAATATAGTTATATAATGGAACTGCATGTTGTATATATATAGTATAAACTACCCAAATGATAAAGACAATAGACAAGTTAAATGTTAGTCTCAATATTGATTTTTGTATTTAATTCAACATAACGGTACTTTGTAACTAGTTTAACATTTTATAATAAAACAAAACGTATGTCTTTTGTTTTATATCTTAATATAGTAAAAATGTCCTGTAAATGTTTCTATTACATTAATGTATGTAACTTCTAAAGGTTATTCATTCTGTTTGTTATAAACTTATTATTGTTATTAATTATTATCTTTTTAGATCATTAATTACAAGTATAAGCTTAAAATATCAGTTCATAACTATTGTAGTAAATAAATTTGTCAGGGTAACTATGTGATAAATGTTTATCATTATTTAGAGATGAT